ACATTGAGTAAATAATAATGAAATTGATTACAGAAATTTGATATTAGGTAGTAACCTTATTAATTCAGGTTTTTTTTAATTGAACAATGTAAATAATTTTGTCTTATATTTTTTTAATATATTAATATGAGTCGGCGTTCATCACTCGTAGCGCGACATACATGAGAATGTTTTATAACTAGATATCGACACAATTCAACAATATGGCGTAATATAATAAAGGCGGAAAGGTTTATTGTCTGTGGTTTGGATGAAGAAGATTCTGTACTTCATAAACTATTTTGTGTTCGAAGAACACTGGAATTAAAAACCATTGACTAGACTGATGTGATGATTGATTTGTGATGAAGCAATATTATTTATTAGTAAATTGAATATATTTAGTTTCTAAAACCCGATGTCGGAAATCTTAGTTGGATATATTTATTTATGGAAACTATATGAAATTGCTTTACCTCGGGTGCATTTCGTCATACCAAATAAAATGTAAATCACGTTCATAGATATTCTTTACGGATCTAAGGGAATTAGTTATAATGAATGTGTTGGTTTGATTTAAATTAAGGTTAAGCTACATTTGACAGCACGTTATCGCCTTTTTACGTCTTCTATCCTTTTCTGCATTCTGCGGCGTGCTAATGTATACCAGCTATTTTTCTCGCTCTTACTAATGGCGGTTTTGAGTGTTAGAAAAGGGTAGGCCGACATGGATTAGGAAGTGTAGCTCAACTCTTAGCGCTCTTATGTAGGTGCCGCAGCTTAACAATACGATCAATTTTTTTTTATAATTACTACAGAAATACCTATCCCATTTTATTTATTTTACATTACTCTTATTAAAAGTAAAAACTGCGGCTCCTTTTTAAATTTAATAAATGAAATATGTGTTGATCAATAATAAGAAACATTGTTAATTATTTTATTACGTGTTTTAATATATCTTTTCCGCGGTACTAAAAGTACGGGGGTAATTGTTATTGTTTTCTAATACTTTCGATAAATGTGTGTTTCTGTAAAGTTCGATGTGTGCCAAATGTTACAAAGAAACATATAATTACCGTGTAGCAACAGATTCAACTACAATGTAATATGGATGTATTTATATGATATAATAATGATAAATGAAATATATTACTTATGTTAGATAGATTAGTTTGTAAGTGATATTATGAATTAATATAATTGCTAAATTATGTAATACATACATTTTTGCTGTATTTAGGAGCGTCTTCCATCTTATTCGTATTGTTTTCTCTTAGGTAAACGCAGTGGGAGAAGATTTCATGGTGACTTTGTACAGTTTACCCTTTAATCGATTTTAGATCTTAACTTCTTGATGATTAGATTGAAAACCGATTGAGGTTGTAACATGGAACTTCCTAATGTACTGCATAGCGGTACTTCCGTTTTAATAAATAGTGAATTCGTCTGCACAGAACAGAGCGATCTAAGGCCAATAGAATAAGAGTACAATAACCTTGAAATATAGACTTTAATGCGTTACGTTAAAGTTCGTCTATTAGAAAGCGTAACATTAAGAAAAAACATTGTTCGCGGCTATAAAAGTTTAAATTCTGCGCAGATACATCTGTGGAACTTCAAAGACATGATTCTACATATTATTCAATATTATAAGGTACTAAAAAGTACGAATTTAATTAAAGACACATTAAAATAATTTTAATGTTGCAAAATTATGATTCACATGAAATTTTCACCCTCACTGTAGAAACTAGCCTTTCTTTCGGTGGTATAAGGATTGTAGATGAAAATTTACAGCAATAATTAGTACCTAATAGTAGTTCTTGTGCTGGTAGATGCTATAATAATGATATAACTACGTGTGATAACTCGCAATTTATTTATTAAGCGCCGTGTTTTTAAACTTAATTTTGTAATTATAAAATCTTGTCACATAATCTATTCGTAATAACGTTACGTGTATGGGATTATATTGGTGAATACAAAATGCTTTTAAAAAAAAAATACTATGATATTAAAATTGTTGCGGCTCACATTTACTGTCGGGGAATAAAGAATTCATTAATTTAATTTATTTTTAGGTGAATAATGTCCGTTTTCACTAACCTAGAACAAGGCATAGCTTAACCAGAAAATTATTCGTGGTACACCCGCATCGTCATTTTCCATATATTAAAAGTCCGAAAATTCAAAAAATGTCATTGTTTCCTTACTAAATTATTTTTTCCCTTGACATATCCGTTATGGCCAAAGAGTAAATGTATCTGTCACATTACGCAAATGCCCCGCGCTAGGCGCCGCACAATGCATGTCCTAATTTTAAGAGTGGCTTAAAATCGTTAGGCGACTCCTTGTCACTTGTGAATTGCATTTTCACTTTAGACAATACCCAAATATTTGTGTCAGATGTGAGCCTAACTTTAGTGAAAACGGGCATTATACTGTTATATTTTATGTAATTAACTTGTTTGTTTGTTTCGAATGAACCTAGCTTACTTGTTTCATGAGTTGGTGATACTTGCCACTGCTGATATTTCAAAGTATTTTGTTTGAAATCATATGAATATCAATTACGTTCATAATATGTCGAAGGGTGTAAAGTAGCTCTGTATAATACAGGCACAGCATATAAAGTTATACAAAACAACAATGTTCTTGACAGTTATTGACTGTTAGGTTCAATATTGATTGCAGAAATTTAATCTTTTTTTAAATATAACTTGATATGCTGCTGTGTGTACATAAAGTTCACTTGGTAATAATTTACATCTGAGTTGGACCGTCCTGCATTATTACGCTACACGTTTAATGCGTGATATATATATCGTTCAAAACTGTCGTATCGATAGGATGCATCGTGTCCACAGTACAGCAGTTCATCCTATTGTATTTTGAACCATCAAGTCCTTAATTTTCAGACTGAAGAAGTATTTAGAAATTGCATAGGCACACAATCTTGTTTGGAGATGCTAATTGCACCATGCTGAAACTCTCACATTAGTAGTAAATTTAAAAAAAAAGCTCAGGCCGTTATTCTATCATCAAATGGTCAGTATGAGAGTGATAGATTTCTGACATGACCATTTTTACGAAATTAGTTAAAGGAAATGTGTCATATTCTTAAAGATGTTTACATTATTTTTTAAGAGTTGAAGCTGTGCCTTTAACAATCTCATCTACATATCTTGTTCATGTATTTCTCCATAGACTGCTAAATTAGGAACTCGATTAATTGAGAATTAATTTCAAAATTTAAAAGGATACCGAACTACCACACTGATGGACACGCATTCATCAATTATTAAAACTTTTGCAGTGGTATTAGCCCCTTAAATCTTAGATGTAAGTGCGAACTACGTTTAAGTATACAAATTATTGTTATTGTTAATATTTTGCTGGCTTCGAACGACACCATTCTTTATTGCTATTGTTGAAAGTTATTGCCAAATTTTTATTTGTCCTAAAATCTTTTGTCTTTGTACATATCCATTAAATAAAATTATGTACTGAGGATCACGAGTGCTTTATTTATTACTGACCCGGCGAACTTCATACCGCCATATTTTATTTCTCCAGTCGCAACTGAAGATTTTTTTTTTATTATTTTTCTTAAATAAAAATTTTGTTCTGACCTTACAGTAAGGAACACAAAAAAGAGAACCATCTAATTTGATGCAGTTATTCGGAAGTTATGGTATACGTACATACATACATTTAGGCGATTCACTTACATACAAAATCACAATAAAAATTATTCAATAGAAAATATGTTAAAATACAGAGAATCATCTCTCAACTTTTGTTCTTAAAACTATCAATTTCAATCAATATATCTACCAAACACATCATAGAGGTCTACGGAATTAAAGTTAATATTCAGAGCACTATCATGAACGCATACATGCATCCAGCCGGTGATTACGTACATCCAAAAAACTAACAATTACAAACATCTATTGTAGTTATAGTGATATCTGCTCTTGTGTTGTTTTTTTAGTAGAGAAAGAATTGATTAATTACCGTACATGTGTAATTATAACTACCGTGCAGTCTCTTGAATCACGTGTCTCTTTTACTACGGGATGTTGGCAAAATTTCCGTGTATAACGGAACAAGTCCATATTGAAAAAAAAACACGTCTGAATTATTATAGGGTATCGCGCGCGATGTCGCTCGGGATAAATAGCGGGTAAGCGAGGTGTGGGGACGGGCGGTAATAGCGCTTCATCGATATTTAATTTCTCGCGCGCAAATTTTTATTTTGCGATAACTGTAGATATTAGTCTTTTTTTTTCATTTTGTGTAAAAGGCAATGTTGATATACATTTAATGCAGAATATATCTAACGTTTTCATTAAACTGAATTTACCGCGGCTGATAGAAGCAGAAATGTATAAGTGTGACCAGTATCGTTCAGCGAAACGCGAATAGAACGGAATAAATGCAATTAGTACCTTCTTGGGTGCCAAATGTTTTTCTGGTTGAGAAGTTAAAGTTCATTTACTAGTGTTTAAAATTTAAATTCAGATACCGTGCATCTCAAGGTTTAAAGACATTACGTAGATTAACGGCGATGGGACTATAAGAAATATTTCTCCCTCGTGACTTCAATAAAACGGGAATAAATAATGCAAATATTAAAAACTGCCCATAATGTTTGTTTTATTTAAAAACAAGCATTCCAATAGTAATTTATTCCAGATGCAGAGGCTTATTTTCATAGAAATAAATCTTTTAAAAAATCTTACCCATTAAATAATGATCTGTCATTCTAATATACTACAATTAAGTACCTACATCTAAAAGGATTATCACTGCTTTTTGTTTTTAGTACCGTAATATTAAATATTCCCTTTCATATTTAGTTTTGATCTGAAATTTTCAGCTGTCTGTCTATCACGGTCCATGATATACATACCTGGATAGACAAACAGCAGAGTTTTAGTAATAGGTTGTAACGGGGGTAATAAGGTCGCGCTTTTATTATTATTATTACATTAATATGGTGGTATCGTAATTAAAGAAGCATTACATCAAATTGTGGCAAAGCAAATAAAACATCAAATTACTAAATTTAGTTTATTACAAAAGAACAAAAGCACGGCTCTAGGGGCCTAGTAAATATACAATGTTAGTTATTTATCTTACAATATAGAAATGTTGAGTTAACATCTATTATTATTAGCGGTATAACAGCGCCGGCGGTGCCGGCTATGTCCCTTATTTATTATACTTTTGAAATGACTTGATTTTTTATTTCAAGAGAAGTATATCTGTCTTGCTTCAGCCGGCGCTTGCTCCATTGGACAGTAGGGACACTTTAACCTAGAAAAAAAGTAGTTTTGTAGTTTGCAAGCATATGATCAAGTAGTTTTGTAGTTTGCAAGCATATGAGATATAATACGCTTGACTTTTTGTGTATTAAACACGGTACTAATTAATGAAAGAAAATATTAATTTGGCTTGCATGCCAGTTTCAAGATGTCGCCATCTCGTCAATGGGTTCGATTCCCATTTGCGTCAATATTAATGAAGTTTTCTATACTACCTCGGGGTCTGGGTGTTGTGATATTTTAAATCCTACTAATATTATAAAGGCGAAATTTTGTACGTTGTTGAAATTTGGTATAAAGGCAATTCTTGGTCTAGATTACCGGTAAACTTAATAACAAACCATAGACATAGAACATTACGTGAACTGTCGGTTGCGTTTTGTTATAACAAATGAACGATTAATGTAAGCTGTCAGATGCGTTTTATTATAACATCACTTTCAACAGTGATTTTTTGCCTCTTTTATTATTTTTATTAATATACGAGTAATATCATATTTATAAATACTTATTATACTATTCCCGACGGAGACAAATCCAAAAACACAAAAATTATAAAAATCGTTCTCGCGATATAAATAGTGTAACTAACACGACTCACTTTAATATATACAAATTTGAAAGATAACAAACATTTTCTTTAAACTCCAGAATCGACACGTGGTGATCGTGATAAAATGCAAAAAGAATAGAGCACATTTTACTAACTTGGCACCCATAGCGAGCTTGTTGAGAGCATCACGTGATATCACGTGACCGCAGAGCAGTCTCATTGGAGGATTCTGTTCGGACGCCTGCTGTCTTAGTATAGGGCATGCGAATACTGAATGGTAACCGCCACCGTCCTCGCCTAAATCCACCTGGAAATCGAAAATTAAATAAAGATTACAAAATTCGATTTTCTAAAATTCAGCATATAAAGATGGGCAATTTTAAATATGATTTTTGGTGTTAGGTTTTATGATTTCTGCTCATTGCACGTAAAGAATGTAAGGTTAATAGTTTAATCACAAACAACAACGAAAAATATTAAAATTATTACTATTTTCTAAGCCATTGCATTTGTTTTTAAACCATGTTATGCATAAAAGTTTTTGCTGCTCCTGTGTTTTAGTGGCACTAAAGTCCGTTTCATACAGCATGGGTACAGTGACATTTGTTAGCAAATCCATTTCACAGTTGTATTTCCAAATATTTAAAAAGCATCGTTAAAATAGTGAAACGATGTACATTTATATTATATATTAGAATTTTTAATGGCCATTAATACTGAAACCTAACCATCTAAAGTTTGAAACATATAAAATCCATTATCACTATTAGAAATAAACTCAATAATATAGAGATTTTGTAAACATATTTTATTACCGCATCACTAATAACTTCAAATCCCAAACGTCACCGTACCCATTCTATGTGAAAAAGACAATAGTACAAAATACACTAAAGAGAAAAGAGTTTAATTTACAAAGATACAGTTTATTGGCACAAAAATACCCGTATATAAATTAGTTATTAATGTAAGATGATTATAAGTCGCAACTAAATTAAGACTGACTCACCGTGTCCTAGATTTGGCACAGTAGCGTAAAAATGCAACGCTCCAATTGTGCGGTACATTGTACCGTACAAGTATAGTTACCTCTAAAGGTAGCTCGTCGTCTCCCCAAGCGGCGATGACGTGCGGATGCGCCATCTTGGTGCGTATGTCGTGTAAGGCGGGTATCACACGCGCGCCCGCCAGCACGCCGCCCGCCAGCGGGGACAGCGGCGCCAGACGGAGTAACGCGCACGATTCGCGGATAAATAGCTCCGCCGCCTCCGCGCCTAGGGTTGCCAGATGTAAAAATCAGAATTTTGAAGGAAAGTACCGAATTCCATTAGAAAATTCCGATTTTTTGATGCATTTTGAAATTTTTCTCAAACGTACTTAACAATTTTAAAAAGTCAAATTGTTAAATTTTTTATACACTGCATATCTCGAGGGATCCCGCTCACTCGTTGCACATCGCAAAGTTGAGAAGATTATTTTTAGTTTGTATAATTTTTTATTAAAGAGATTTATAAAATGTGGTATATTTTACTAAAAATATAAAAACTCCTAAGACTTGCATAATCCGACCGCAATCCTAAAAAGAATCCAAAAATTCTGAGATATGGTAACCCTATCCGCGTCTGACATAGAACCTATATAAAATTATAGGTACAGCGAATCGATGAAGTACCTAAAGGATTAAAAATTCAACGGAATTACGAAAGATGTTAAACTTGTTAATTCCCAAGTCGTACTTAACTCACCTAGCGCGGCGGGGTCGAGCAGGTGCGCGTAGTGCGGGGGCGCGGGGGGCGCGTCGGGCGTGCACCAGGCGAGCGCGCACACCGCCGCCTGCAGCTGGCGCTCGTGGCGCGCCGCGTGCGCGGGGAACTGAGCGCGCGCGTACTCTATCGCCGCCACCACGCCCACCTCGCGCGCCAACTATGTGGCAAATCCACACTTTGTATTATAGGGTATTCTACTCTCTTTTAATACTAATAAATTTTGCTTCATTTTATAAGCCACAAACAAAATATTCCGGAAAAATAAATATAATTTCTTGCCTTGAAATTAAATCAATATTTTTAAACATTTATTATAAACTTAAATAAACGCAATTGTATAACGCTTGTTTAGCGCCGCAGCCGCCATGTATTCTAACACCCAACCTCCGCATTGGGTACAAAACTTAACATATTTTTGTTGTTGGCCGTTTTCCCTAACCTAGAATAAGGCATAGCTTAATTAAGAAATGCCTAATCTTACGAATCCCCTAAACGAGTTAGTTTATTATCATTTTCTTTCTTTCGTCCATTGACACATTTTTGATCTATCATATTACGTAAATGCCTAGTGCAAGGTGTCGCATAAGGCATGTCATAATTTTAGACATTGCTTAATATGGTTAGGTAATTCCTAGTCATTAGTGAAACGCATTTGCACCTTAGGCGATACCTAAATATTTAGGCGACTCCTAAGTTAAGTGAAAACGGGCATTAGTCTATAAACTACAGATAAAAACTAACCTTCAAAGCTTGCATCCTATGTAGAGTGAAAGGGAGAGGCGAATGTGCCAGCTCCTGTCCACGTTCTTCAACCCATTGCAGCGCTGGCGTTGGGTCACCCTCCGCTAGCGCTGCGGCGCAACGCTGAAGCAAAGCGAATGTACAAGTTCGCTCCACTGCTGGAATCCGCGCCTCAGCAACCAGTGAATCGCCAACATCCTCTAAACCCTAACATGAAAGAACACGTGATTTATTATCCTATCCATGGTCCATGTGTAATTTATGAAGTATCATAAAATATTTTGTTTTTGTTATTTTCCAATATAGTAATGGAGAGGCTTCATATTCTAATGAAGTCATTTTTCAATTTTGACATCTCTGTATAAATTAACGCGGACAAAACAGCATCCTATGCTGAGTTTCTTGATGGTTCTTGTCAATACAAAGTCTACCACTGTAGATTTACGAACCGACAGCATATAGTTTTGATTTTGTGAAAGTTTTATTACAGCCTAGACTTAAAAATGATTTTTATTTATTCTATATTTACCCAGTGCTCAGTACAGTGAAGGAGAGTTGACAACTGTCAACTTTAAATGAAAAACTAGTAAATGTCAATCTACATTCTGCACTTTGTTTTCCTCTTCCAAAATATCCGAAGCTGATGGAATGTTAATGTTACTTGTAATTAGTACCAAATATCATTTAAGTTGTTATATTATTAAGTTAATTACATCACAGCTAAACCCTACAGTCAATAGTGATGGCTAATGACATGATAATTACACAAACCTGTCTATATAAATGTTGAGCAATAGCTTGTTCCATAATAGGTCTGTTTTCATCACAACAGAAGCTTTCAGCCCTTGGTGCTACAGAACCATAATCAACAATGAAGTGTCTGTCAATTGTCTTACCCACTTTGGACACTGTTGCATGTAATTCACGATGTTCTGTAAGCATAAATAAAACAATAATTTAATTTATTTTATATTTATTAAATGAACTCACACAGATATGAGTGTTATAATAGTTTAGGGGAAAAGTTATTTGTAATAAAGTTTTAAAATATATCGAATTTCTTCATTAGACTCATTTTAACAGTAAGAAAAACATATGAAAATCACCCATTTACCTAATTTGAATTCAGAGTTATCTTCTTTAAAATTTAAACTTTTCTAATGATCCTGGAACCAGCCAGATACAAATGGTATAGCCATAAAGATTTTATTACAAATTTATGCATACTATATGTGAAAAGACTTTTTCCCCAACCTAATTTAACCTGTCACTTACCAGACAGCAGTGCAAAAATCAATCATTTTTTCTATTTAAAAAAAAACAAAGCAGTTTGGTGTCAATAACTGCAGATGAAGCCAAAATGGCTTCACATGTTTTATAAATGCACTAACATTTTCTAAAGATGCTCTAATCTCATTATGATTTCTTGCTCTGTATTACTGGTCATAGCGAATTTAACAGACACCTTTTTAAGATAGGTCACTGCCCCTGTGCAAAAGAAACCGCTGCTCACATCCTATACCTATAGTGATTAACAAAACAAAAATAAGTACCTGTAGACATTTGAAATACAGTTTTCTTTACTCTGGCAGCCAGCTCACTTACAACCATGGCCTGTGTTTGTGATAGGGGTGTATTAGCTGGTTCTGCAATATAATTTAGAATATGTAAATACAGTAAAAGCTCCTTATTCGCGGGGGTTACGTTCCTTAAATAGGCCGCGAATACAGAAAACGCGAATACGGGATGGCATTTAGTATAGAATTATAGGGGATACGTTCCTGACGACGAAATAAAAAAAGCAAACACATAAAAAATCAGTTTAATTTAAGTTTTTGATCATATATACACGTCACATAATATCTTCAGGTTTAGGCAATGGTTTAAAAAAATATGTGAATTTTTCTTGCTTGGCAGACTTTAAGAGCTTTCTCATTTCACACTGATATTCAGCAGTGGCACTAGCAATTTGCCTCTTAAAAATAAGACTTCATTCCATTGATGGATCAATTTTCATAAAGAAATCACGAAGCTCATTTGCCATTCTTATGCCTTCACTAAGATTTTACAGATTAAATGTCACGTTGCCAGTGCCTGTTGACGCCTCTTCTTCAATGGGTTGTGAATTTAACATTTCCTCCAAGTCAGTTTCAGCCAAATCTTCATCTTGTGATTCGAGCAACTCCTGAATATCACTTGATTCTATTTGTTCGAATCCATCTCGTCCTATTCCACTCGCAATTTCACTTGTTTACAGTTAAAGTTTTAATTTCTTCCTCATTTTCAGCAGTCAGAACCGGCCATAGTTTTTTCCAGCATGATTTCAATGTGCGCTTCAGTTCTTGCAATGATTCTTGTATGTTTACGATGTATTTTGCTATGTCAAATTTCTTCCAGCATTCCATAACATTCATATCAGGATCACATTCCATATTATCCAGTATGATTTTGAAGGTCCGTCTTATGTAATAGAGCTTAAAGGTCTGGATTATTCCTTGGTTGGAGGTAGACGCAAAGCCGTCTTTTCTTTTGAAAACACAATCTAGGCGTTACAACTACGCCTAAGGTCTATTTTATTTACCTCTTTATTAGTCCACTTGCTGACAAATGATACCGAATGCTTTTTATTTAGGGACATATTATTATATGAATATACCGATGTACCGATTCAATCCGCGAATAAGGAAATTTAAGCCGCGAATATGGGACTTGAGTCGCATTTTTTCAATCCGCGAATAGTGAAAACGCGAATGAAGGAAGCGCGAATAAAGAGCTTTTACTAACATTTTGTTTGACAGCAATCATATTAATTATGCTTATGTGTATGATCTAAGAGACCTTGTAAATTTATAAAATAAATTACTGTTTTAAATAACAGTATAAACAATTCTGACATCTCTACACTTTAAATATAACAATATCTTTCCTATACATTATTAGATCCTATACATTATCAAATTTGTTATCAACTTTGAGGATACAGAATTAGTACCTAATGAAAGTAATAGGAAGTGATATTGTTAAATGTAAGTAGAATTTAAGATTGCATTGTTTGTTTATAAGTTAGAGTAAGTATAAACTACAGACTTACGCTTGGCTATTTCCTTTTTTAAATTCTCCACTTGTTCAACAATATCATGCAAAACTTTATCAGTATGATCGTTTAGTGAAGTAAATTTTGAGATGGCTTTGTCTAAATCCTGCTCCACGCCGATGCATGCCTCCATTATCAAATACGTTAATAGTCTATTTCGTTATCACTGGTTGTCGCCAATTATATGGGCAGATACGACTACCCTTTTATTGACAAGAGCAAATATTTTTAAAATATTTTATAATTTAGAGATGAAAACAGACATAGCGTGACAAACAAATGTCAAAAACAGAAATAATGACTGTCACGCACAGAATAGCGATGGACAGTTATTTATTCAACTAGTGATTTGCCTGAACGGCGATCACTATCAGTGATACAATAACTATCTATTTTCCACAACGCTTTAAAGTAAACATTTAAGGTTGATGTTTGGGCGATTCGCTTTACAAAATCCACGATCACCAATAAGCGGTGATCACAGTTCGCAATGATACGTAGATGTCTTTATGAGATTAACACTTTACATTGACGGTCATGTTATGCAGTTTTAATAAGTAAAGCGTTTAAATAATATGGATCGCAAACAATGCAACCTGTTATGTGAATGAAATAACAACATAATGTAAGTATACGTGATTTAAAAAATGGATAACGACTCGTCGCTAGCACAGAACAATATACTCTATCTAACACTTAGCATCCAGAGGTGTTCAAAACGACTAAAAATATATAAAATAATAGTAAAAAAAATGCTTTCGTCTTGCCTCAATTTATTATGTTTTATGTAAAATGATCTTGTCAGGTCATTATTAAGTTTCATTTCACTTATAAGGGTTATTAAGGTTATTAAGGTTACATTTCACTTATAAGGGGATGAACCCAATCTGTCTTCTACGTCTTCGCACGTAGAGTTACAAAGCAAGCAATTACCAACGTTCCAAAAATCTCATCCCTTAACTGCGCCGCTCCGATCAGGAAAAAAACGGACATGTGCACAAGCTGCTCATCTGGGTTTTTCATGTCATTCCGGACCGGAAAAAAATCGGACTGCCGGAACTGAAAATTTAGTGTAGTGCACAAGTGCCCTACGGGTGCATGAAGATTCTTTAAATTTTGTAGCACGCTAAATCTTCTAACACGTCAATTATTTTATGTTGTACGTTAAATAGATTACGTGCTTTATTAAACAATAACTCATTAGTCTAAATAGTTTGAAATAAATTATAGCAGTACTAACTAAATTAAAAGAAAATCGATAAACTCGCCTTCATACTTTTCAGGATTATTAAGACTCTCTAAAATTCATTTATAGGCGTATTTAAAAGTTCATTTATTTTATGTACAATAATCTACTAGGTACATTTGCTATTATATATTTTATTCACATTATAATTGTTTTAAACAACCGTTTATAATCTATATACACACACAAACTTCTTTAAACATAGACAGAATAAGACGTAATCACCCTTCTTATCTAAAGTATTTAAAATATTGACTTAGTAAGCTCTGTTAAAACACAGGAGATAAGGTCATGCGTAATAATTACCTACTTAGCGTGCTCCGAGCATTAGCAATGACACGTCTGCCAACGATTTACTGTGCGGCCGGCTGCGATCTAGTTTCGTTCGTTCGTTTGGTCGTTGAATTCTTAGCGCGTTCGCGTATAACTACTTAGCAGTGTTAATCGTTAAGGGAGAAAAGCGTGTTACATGCTAGACCTTAATTTAATCACCACTATTAACATCATGCTACTCATAGATAATACTTAATAATGAGGAAGTATTTTAAAAATAAGACATTAGCTAGATGTCTTTCGCTACGTTCTTGATTTCTCCATGACAACCCTTCCGGTTTTCTTTCATATTTAAAAGTAAACTAGTTTTCAAAACTCAATAAACAACTCATATTCTATTTGTACTGTATTGTATTTGTATTAATATCTATGTTTTGAACTTTTCAAATTTCGGTTATTTAATGTGTTAGTTAGAAGGAACGGAAATGACTGTCTTTGGTCCATTCGTTTCCTGCAAAAAACAACGTTTGCTAGAGACGCCATCTAGTGGAGGTGATTTTTTAGTGCTTTCGTTTTTTTAAATATTTCCTCATTGGTATACTAGGTACTTTTTGCTTCGCATGTCATACATCAAATAATCCATGATTCAAATCAATTGATAGCAGTATAGTAGCGTGGGTAATATCAGATTTTCACAATATCAATTCGTAACTGTATATCGTATATTCAATATCGTTTATTCCTTGAAACTATATGTTTTTTTAACTGTCGTTTTTCTAACTATAAATGTCTGAATGAATCTGTATTCTGTAACCTTTCATCAATTAGAAAGATTTTATACTTTAATGTTACATAGTTTTTTTTATATGGTTTCCGTAGATACGAACTATTATATTATAGTTTCGAAATAACAATCCCGAATCGATAACAGTTTTATTTTTTAATTTTGTCTATGGTTGAATATTGCACAATTTGATTTCGAGATTGAGACTAATTTGAGGTTAGGTTTCTTTTTTTTTGGAAGTTGTAGAAAATAGTGTCAAATATTGCTTTATTTGTGCAAGTTTCACCAAAATGGCACAAAGTAAGTTCAACGACATGGCAGGAAAGTTTGCAAAAGGTGGTCCGCCTGGCCTAAGCATCGGTCTGAAAGCTGTAGCGGTGGTTGGTGCGGCGGCCTATGGTATCTCGCAATCCTTGTTTACCGTGGAAGGTGGTCATCGAGCAATAATGTTTAACAGAATCGGAGGAATCCAACAGCATGTCATGACTGAAGGTCTACATTTCCGGGTACCATGGTTTCAGTATCCAATCATTTACGACATTAGATCACGCCCTCGCAAAATATCATCACCCACTGGTTCCAAAGACTTACAAATGGTAAATATTTCATTACGCGTGTTATCTCGACCCGATGCTAACAATCTTCCAATTATGTATCGACAACTTGGTACTGATTACGATGAAAAAGTTTTACCATCTATTTGCAATGAAGTGCTCAAATCTGTTGTGGCGAAATTTAACGCATCTCAGTTGATCACACAACGCCAACAAGTTTCTCTATTAATCAGACGTGAACTTGTTGAACGTGCAGCTGATTTTAACATAATACTTGATGATGTCTCTCTCACTGAACTAAGTTTTGGAAAAGAATATACAGCTGCTGTTGAAGCCAAACAGGTTGCTCAGCAAGAAGCTCAGAGAGCTGCATTTGTTGTTGAAAGAGCTAAACAAGAGCGTCAACAAAAAATTGTGCAAGCTGAAGGTGAAGCCGAAGCAGCTGAAATGTTAGGCAAAGCTATGGGTATGAACCCTGGTTACCTCAAATTGCGTAAAATCCGTGCCGCTCAAAGTATTTCAAGAATGATCGCTCAATCTCAGAATCGTGTCTTTCTTCCTGGCAACAGTTTAATGATCAACTTACAAGACCCCACATTTGATGATCTTTCAGAAAAACTTACAAAAAAGAAGTAACAACTAGCTATGGTAGAGTGTGTTGATAGTTTAGAAGCAGCAACCACTCTCACCAACCAAGAGGAAACTATAATTATCAGCGGTGCTGCTTCAATTACTGTTTAGCATATTCGCATTTCAAACACATGTAAAAAGTCAAGTACTACTATGCTCTTAACCATAATGTTGCATTTTATGTTATTTAGTTATAGGTCTGTAGAATGTATGGGAATCAAATGATTACAAAATAACACTTTGTTTTATTTTCCTCATAAACCCAAATGAAAGTTTTCTCATCTCATTATCTACCAGTTCAGCATATAGTATTCTCTAAGATTTCTGAAAGTTTGGGTTTATATTGGAATAAAAGAAATCATTGCTAGATGAGACTTCCTTACGTTTTACAGCTTTTAAGTGGAGCTAATAGGCCATAGACTAAGTTACATAAAATATACTTTAGAAATGAAAGTTGTGGTAAGGACAAATAAAACAACATGTATACTTTAATCTTATATTAAAACAAAACCAATATGTAAGTTATTTACAAATGTACATATAGAATCTTTACTTCTTTAGTGCAGACGGTTGAGGCAATCTAAACTTTGCCATTTCTATTTCGGCTTCAAAAAAACTCATGTTATCATAACAAAAGTACTCTGGAACTTTGTAGGCACCAGATTTGTTAGGATCAACACCAGGGCCAACAGGCTGAGAAGCAGGATGGATAACAGCACTGCTAAGACCGGGAACATCGGTCTTCACAGTAGTCGAAGCAGTAGATGGTGATGGGCCATGACTTCGACCCACTTGTTCACTGTAACATCTTGATATCAAAAACCTTAGATTGTTCCTCTGCGCAACCCTAAAGATCATCTTTTTAATAGCTCGTTGGTATTCGGTATCTTCTCTCGCAAATGGCTGAATTTGTTTGTGACAGAGTTACACAACCACAATAAAATTTTACCAACCTAATATCCACAGACTTAGTAGGTATCAGACGACCAACTTCCTAACAAAAAATTTCTTCGTAGAGCGTGATTGGGAGCCAGTGATACATGACAGCATCATTCGTTTTAAATATACAGACCTACTATCGGCAAAGGCATTTAGCTATACAGCCCTGTTTTGGGTAGGTACCTAGCCGTCTTCCTAGTTTCCACATTATTTTTACTTTAATTTAAATTCCTTTTTTGTTTTAATACAACAATAACAATAAAGGAGACTGATAAGTCTAGCTTATTATTATTGTTGTATTAAAACAAAAAAGGAAAAACGAACACGTAAATGAAACACACATTTTTCCAATATTATTTATTGAATAATTTATTTTTTAACTTATTATATTTTACACAGCTCTTCTGCATTCTCGGCAATTCTTAGCTACATTTTTTTAGTGGCACAACCTTATGAAACTTTTCAAGGTAATCACATTTTTTTTAAAGAGGGCACTGATATTTTTTTATAAACTTATTTAAGTTTTTCTAAAATTTCAATTGCCTTTGGCCAGAAAGAATGATGCTCTTTTCCTTTATGCTTTTTTTTGTTTATCGATGCTCCATGGACACTATCAAATAATTGGTCAAAGAATGAAACAACTTCAGCTGTATTTCTTAATGTTGTGCTGACGGGCCTACCATCCACATAAGTTGCTGCAAATTAAAATATTCATACAATAATTGTATGAAACTTGATTCAAAACTATTAACTGTTAGTAAATTTCATCTAATACTCACAGAAATTTGCAGTGTAAGACAAAGCTGCAGACATATTTTTACACAATTTTTTACCTGCAAAAAGAGATATCATATTTAAAATTATCTTCATTATAGAATCATTATTGTAATTTAAGTGTAAACTATATTAACTACTTGTTACATAATTAAAAATACAGGTCATTGAACCAACACTTGCTCTGATAGAGAATATAGAAACTGAATACAAATTATTTCTTTTATTTATACTAATTTAAGTTATACTAATATAATAACCAATGCATTACCTTCATCATTTTAATTTTATCAGGTATAACTCATTGGTCATTTAATTTATGACGTAGCCCAGCTTCAGTGTGTTGACAGTCTGTCTCATAGACATAAATAATATCATGCCATTTTGCAAGTTTAATATCCAATATTAAATTTTTTGTTAAAAAATTGTTCCTGATGCATTTTATCAAGTGTGCAGAATCATAATGTTCAAATCCACCCCACATATTTTAAGAATGCCAACTGAAACAAAAATTTAAGAACTTCTTAAAACATAGATAACTATATAAAAATAGGAACCTTCACTACTTTCATTAAATCTATTAGTTTTCTTTCATATAAATATAATTCTCTGTACCAACCTGTGATTTCAATTTAAAATTTGATCACACTAAGTGTCTTCTTTTAGATTTTTGAGTGCTGATTGGAAAGCTGAGCCTTGGTCATATATTATTGCGATGGGATTAAGGTCCAATTCAACAACTTTTTCTACTACTAACTTTTATTATACGAAAGTGCTGTTTCTAATGACATCTCATCAAATATAATGGAGCATATTTTTTGGAGTTTCATTTGTCCACCTGAAAAAATAAATTCAAATAGGTAGGTACATATTATTATTTGGTAGTTATACAAAAAATTATAAAAGTAGTATGAAAAACCTTATATGGAATATATTTACCTCTTACATGAAGCCTGGTTCTATGATCGATTTTCTAATCATAGTATTCAGTGTAGTTTTAGATAATAAAATAAAAAATTTTGTTTAAAAATCAATAACACTTTGGACTATGCTTTGATATTGATAAAGCAATTATCTTTTCTTCGGTAGTGAATCACCTCTCATGTTTATTTTTAGAGCACATGCTCACTTGCATTTCAAAAACGTTTTTTGCAACTGTGTTCATTTTCTGTTGGAACTTTTCAAATGATAACTTTTTACAAAACTTAACGGTATTTAAGTATTCTTAACTTTATTATGAAAGTTCAACTACGTCTTTGGCTTGTTATATTCTTCATAAATTCTCTGGTATAAAGGTGACAATTGGCTTTATTTGGTAATAAGCCTTTTCCTTTTTGTTTGGGTACATTTCACAGGGTCTGTAACATCAAAAGTATTCAGTGAATTTCTCTATTAGAACTACTATTTGATTAAAATAAAGATACACTAAAGAAAGAGACAGGTCCTACCAGATAATTTAGTTTGTTTCATATTTTAATCTCCAGAGCAAGCTACTAATTGAGTAAACTCAGTGGCTGCAGACACGGGAGTCTCAATTTGTTCTTTTAAAATTACACCACCTACGAAATCAATATTATGTGTGTAAGATTAAAAAACAGGATATAATCTTAGATGATATTAGAAATATGTTATTTATATTATCAATTTATTCTCTGATCAAAATCACTTCTAGCTTGCCCGCTAGAATTAAGTAACTTAATGTCATTTTTCTTTATGTGTGTAAGAAAGAGAGATCTACTAGACTTTTTTAAAGCAAAAATCTATATTAAAATACACCAAAACTGCAGCATGAACTTTGTTATCTAAATAAAATAAATTAAAAACAAACCTCTGTTCAGTTCCACTTTCTAATATGTGTGGTCAACACGACTTTTTCTTGCATAGCTGTGTTCCCAAGTGAATATAATTTCTGTAATAACAAAAAATTGTAATGAAGAATAGCGGTATTCCAAAACACAACATAAAGTGAAGATACATATCATTTTAACTAAATTATCTAAAGGTAATAGCAGATTAAACCAGCCTTACCAGTATTGCTTGAAGAGGGTAGGCTGATTGAGATCATCATTAAACAATGACGGATATGCGTCACCCAAGAGTCGTGATTTTGGAGTAATGAATCTTGGTACAACGTGTTTGCTACAAATGACACTTCTGCCTGTATTCAAATTTTCAGTATCACACACAGCACTAAGACATTGTAACCACTTGGAGAATCTTTTCTCGTTCACTAGAATCTTACAAAGAATAGCGTCCTGTTCGTACTTTAACAATGCGTGTAACACAACCATAACACAACACACCAATTTCCTAGGCATCTTCTACAAAGAAAAATACTTCGAAAAAAGGAGAGTTTATATTACAAATAAAGCGAAGAGGGTAAGCACAAACGAAACTTTACTCAATCACTCGTAATTCCCTGATATGTAGGTACATACTTTAGTCTTCTTCTTCTTTTATTAATGGCATATCTGCGCATTTCACATAATTTTGCCAATGTGAAGTGAATGAATCTATAATATATTAATTCCAACATGTAAAATGAAAATGAAATGAATTAAAGATTAATTAAAACATTAGTATCTTTACTCTTTGTTGTAATGACAGTTTCTGTCAGATGTCATGTCTCCATCTACTGACAGGGGCGAGGGGCGTGTGGAAATGTCATACATCACTGGACCCCTACGCGATTGGTTTCTTGTACGGAGTTGACGGGCCGTGCTAATATCCTAATATGTCAAATATTATTTTTCTCTTTGTTGTCAAGCAAAAAGAATCTGGTAGAAACACAGTACATTAATGGTAGAGTAATCACTAGTGTGGTAGAAATTAGGTATTAACATTATTATTATTATTATATTCTCCAGTTAGTTAAGTGTTTTAGTAGCATTTAAAAAATGTTTGATATTTAAGTTATTTATTTTTTTCCAATTATTAACTTATTTAAAAGTATATTTTTTTATTTGAACTAAAACGAACTTTTGTAACAAACAAATAAGAAAAAGTACAGATTAAACAGTACAGTAAATAGAGATTTTTTAGACTTTTTCGTATATATCTAAGTTTCGAACTTTGCAAATTTCAGTTTTTTAATATATTAGTTAAAAGGAACGGAAATTACTATCCTCAGTCTATTCATTTCCTGCAAAAATCAATTTTTTAGTAGAGTCGCCATCTAGTGCGGTGCTTTTTAAGTTTTTCCTTTTTTTTCTTAAAATACTTCCTCATGCTTTGGGCAAGGAACATATGAAGAAACCAGCCTTCCTTTGTCGGCCTTCTCAAAAAGTTTATTTTTTATATCTGTATATAAACGATGGGCTTCCCCGGACCAGACTTCAGGCAGTAAATGACAAAGGGAAAGTGGTAAAGATTATATTGAGACGCGATTATTACGTAATACGATAGGTCCCGTCTGAATTTCAAGTATGTAAAGTTTTATTCTTTCCCTGTTCTAGCCTCACTACCACATCAGGAATGTCCAAAATGTCGAATTCTCGCAATAAATTTTATTTTTTTCCAGTCAAAATATCCGATATTTGATATTTATCCGATATTTATCATACATATGAAAAGCTGCGATTTTTGAGATCCTAGTAATATCCCAGATAGCAATTTAAACTTGTTGCTGACTTGCAACATGTTTGATACATCAAAAAAGAAGACTTGCTTCAAGGTTATCATGACAACTGCAGCAACTTGCAGCAAGTTTAAATCACTTTCTAGTTTCAGTGTAACAAACTTGCACTACCTTTGACGTATCGAAGGTAGTGCAAGTGAACCTAGGAAAATATTATCACTACTACCGTAGTAGTTTTTATTAATCTTTTGATCATTAAAAACTTTTGGTCCAAAAGTTTTGACAAAAGCGACTTTTAACTCGGACTACAGCACAGAGCCTAGCCTAAGAGCAAAAGTAATTAACTGGAACGGTTGGTTTCGAATCCCATATTAAGATCACATTTTTTTTTCGGCTCTCAACCTTAATGGTTCGGAACCACCCTCCCAACGGGGGAAGGAGGCGGTGAATCCTTCATTGGATACCCCACGGCTGGCCGTGAGGTTATGTCAGACTCCTACTGACTAAACACCGCCTTGGACAATTGGTTGCGTGCCCTGAAGGGGCAACGAACCTTCGACCGGAGCGACCGCCCCCCCGCAATGGGGAGGGGCGGTATTATAAATAATTAAAAAGTAGTATGCGTGTGAGGATTTCCAGTAACGTGGAGAGGAAACCTTGGCCTACTTTGGGCAAATGTGGCCAGCGTC